CACTGAAATGCTGATGCGTGGATGCCTTTTGGTCCCGGTTGGTGCCACCAACCGGGACCAAAGGCCCTCCTGCCTGGGCTCGGTGCACCGGCCACGTGGAGGCACATCTGTCCCGGTTCCTGTTAGAACCGGGACTAAAGGGGGAGGCATTAGTAACGACCCTTTAGTTCCGGTTCAAGAACAGGGACTAAAGGCCCTTACGAACCGGGACAAATGCCCCCTTTTCTACTAGTGGCTTGTGTGCCGCAAAGATATGTGGCGAGTGCTACAAAGCTGGCGAGTGCAACAATAGACTAGTGCGAGCGGCGAGGCCCATGTTGTGAGCCGGGACAAGCCTGCTGCGAGCGGTGATGGATGACGCCTCGATTTTGTTCCTTTAGGGGAGGGGTGGGGACCTCAAATCTGTGTTGCAGCACTGCAGTTAGGTCTCTTAGGATTAGAGTTCTGCTACGGTGCTATGGTGGTGAGTGAGGCACCCCGTAGATCAAGAATAAGTTTCCCTCCACTCCTAGTCCACCTCGCCGATAGCAGTCTTGTCGATGGAGTAGAGGAGGGCGAGGAATTGTCTGGTCGCTGCTCTTCCGGAATGGTAGATCTGCTTGTGTCTCTGTGTTATGTAGGTGGTCCTCAAAGGCGTCTTACGACAGAGTGCATGTATCGTTTCGTGTCTTGGTGATCTAGCTCCTTTTCCGACAGGCGACGTTCAGCCAACTTCAATGTAGTCAGGGAGGTTGTAAGGTTACATCTCTCCGGATCAATTTGGCAGGATTTGGGGTGGTCTTCCAGCTTGTTTGCCACCTTCCTATCCGAGATGACAATATATTTGCTAGATCATTGTCACTGGCATATTCTAGCTCCAAACGGTGACTTCACACCCGTTGCTCAACGTCGTTTCCCTGGCTTCGATGATGTTTCAAAGGTCCAGAGGTGACATCAAACTTTGCTCAGAGCACACTGCGGCGAGTGCAGGAGAAAGACAACGTCGATTTCCCTAAGTACATGTGTGTACTTTTACTTTTATTTTTTGTAAATATGGCCTTGTAGGGGTTGGTCGACTGTATATGACTTTTGGTCTTTTCCGAAACATGAGGTTTGCTTATGTCATGATGAAACCCCAATTGTCATGAACGGGAAACATTCTGTTTAAGTAGTTTTCGCGTGTTGATGGGAACTATAGAAGTAATTGAGAGCTAAAAAATTGGTTTTTCCTTGCAAATGTGTATAAAAAAAACTATAAAAGGGATGACGGCACACATCACACATTGTAAAACACCGAGGAGTCGGTGAACTTAGTAGCACCTTACAACACTAGCACAAAGGAAGCGTCATCCTCATCCCATGAAGCAACACCGAAAGATGATGAAGTGGGTTGACACTCATCGATATCCAAAGTGAGTACAAAATATCCATATTTAATAGAGATTACTTGGGTTTATCTCCAACTACAAATATCAGGCAATTGCAATTATGGGGTATAAATTGTTGCTCCTAAATGTATATTGGAACTTCAACATTTTATTTTGGTAATAATGATCATAGTAGAACTTTACTAAATTAAACTAAGATACTCATTAGTTTCAACCCTGCATTATCATGTAATATCAAATTAAAACATGTTATTTACATGTAAACCTCATAAGTAGATCAAGAGATCATGATTTACACCTTTCTATATTTATTTATTAATACCAAATAAATATACTAAATAGGTGTGACTCAGCTTTGAGTCACTTACCCTGTACAATACAATACGAGTTTCATTTCATATTCATATAAAGTCAATTCGACGGATCACGTTTCCCATATGAACACATTGATATAGAAAACAATAGAAGACTTCCAGAAACTGATACAATTTCACTATTGTCACCGCACACCAACCAAAGCATATTTCTTTGTTCATACAGATATGTATGTAACACACAAATGCAGTGGATGGTACTCTAAGCAAGTAGGTGTTCTTCCATTACATGGACAGACAAAAGAGCCATAAAAAACGTTCCAGAGAACTTGAGTTTATTCTGTTCCGGCGATCTTCTTCTTCAAGCTCTCGATGTCGGTGGCCAACTCTTTCCTGCTTTCCTGTGAGAAGTAAGAAACACCAAAGCATCCGCGTAAATTAATAATCTTATGCAAAATTGGCTAATTCAATTCAAACACACACAAGAAGTACCATGTGCTAGCATTGTTATACCTTGAAGAGGAGGTAGCGGTACACGAACCACCCGGTGTAGCCGAGCCCAACCAGCTCCAGGAGCTTGGGGAGCTGCACAAAGCAGACCACAGAACATCATAAACTCATCATCCACCACAGTTCAGAGCTTGGGGATTAACTGCGTAAAAAGAAGAGGCAGTTAATTTGGTCAGCGGGCACGTACCAACGGCACGGAGTTGATGGCGCCGACGACGACGGTGGTGAGCCAGAGAGCCACGACGGCGCCGCCGCTGTAGAGGAGGAAGGTGGGCTTGTCCTCAATCGCCTCCCACTGTCACACATGAGAAGAGAACGGGTGACGATAGGCACATTGTGCAGGAGCCAGGAACTGATATGCCCATACGTTTACGCAGGCAGGTAGCTCGTACGAACCTTCCCTTTCAGGTCCTCGATGATCTCGTCGCCGCTAGCCGACGTGTCGTCGGAGGCGGCCTTCACGCGGAGCAGGGACGGCCTGGGCGCATCTGCAAGCTCGGCGAGGTCGTCAGAGCCAAAAGAATTCTCCGAAAAAATTCGGCTGATAGAAACTATAGCATGCATGTGCACCTTGGAGGCGGAGCGGGTGGAGGTTGCGCCGCGGGAGGAGTGCGGAGGAGCGGGGGGCGAGGTTGCCGGTGGCGGCGGGGAGGCGCGCCCCACCGAGGAGGGCCACGGAGTACGCCGTGGCAGCCATTGATCCGTCAGTGCCTTATCGCTAGAGCTATCGCTTCCTCGGCCTCTCGCTCTGCGTTTCGCTGGTGCTAACCGAACAACAAAAGCTGGACCGGCTGTTGTGTAGGAGGGGCTCTTGTGCGGCCGTGCTCGCCCGCGTCTTTGGTCCCTCGGAGGCTCGGAGCGGTGACGTGGCGGCGCGCTTGGCTGTGATTGGCTGCCTCCCTATCTTCACATCCATGGATGGCCCTCCCTGCCCTCTCATACCAGGCATTCCTTTGGTTGGTGCGTGATGAGTGGGGACTGGGAATTTGACGGTTGGGGACAATGCAAAGGTCGATCTGCATTTTGCTAGTACCACTCAGCTTCTGCATCTGTATGCTTCGCTATTGCAGCAATTTTTAGTTTTTTCTTTTATGAAAAAGACTTGGCCTCATACAAAAGTCCATCAGAAGTACAAAACAGAACACACGTAATAAAAATTACTCCATCTGTAGATTAATAGATCATCAAATGACCACGGTCTCATCAGAACGAGCCGCCAACGCCAGCTCCCCTACTAAAGCCGGTCTGACCACATCGATGACAGCAATTCCTAATATATTGGAGGATATGTGCAACGTTTGCTTAGTCTCCTACTCCTATATACTCCCTCCGTTCTTAAAAAAGTGTATTTTTAACTTTGTTGGAAAGTCAAACTTTTTTTATGTTTGACCGTAATTATACAATAATAGACCAACATTTATGCCATCAAATTAGTAGCATTAGATTCATGATAAAATATATTTTCGTCATATACCTATTTGGTTTCACAAGCATTGACATATTTTTGCATAAACTCGGTCAAACCTTGAGATAGTTGACCTCCAACAAAGTTGGAAGTACACTCTTTCAAGGACTGAGGGAGTAGCAGTCTAAACGCAAGATCCTCAAATAATAGTGCCAACGAGCGAGGATATAGCGCATAGTATAGACTGCTCGGATTGGTTAGAACTGGTCTAAGCTGAGACATAACTATGCTCTAATTCTTGTCTTTTCTTAGCCTACTAATTTTCTGTGTTGTGCGGCAAGAGGCTTGAGCACAACTACTATTTCTTATTGCGACGTTGAATAGTAGCAGAACTACTAGTTGTAGCCACGATGAAGCTAGGTGGGAACTTGTAGGAAAACATGTTTTAGGAACAATTAACACGACAAACTAATTAGAGAATCACAATGTGTGATTAGATGGTTAGAAGAACAGTTGTATCCCTAGCCCATTAGAGTTCAAGTCCTGATGCTCGCATTATTTCTGAATTTATTTCAGGATTTTCAGCAATGCGCTTTGAATGGGAGGAGATGGTCCCGTCGACGACGAGGTGCCTATAGTAGTTTCGTAAGTCTCAAGAAGATATGGCGGCTCAGTCTCTCGAAGGTGCTCATATGCAGTAGCAAAGCCACGTCTAGGCTATGTAGTCACTTGACTACATAGCTCTTTGGCAAAAATATAATATATCAAGTATAAATCATGCAAAAAAACATAAAAATATGTATATTTGACTTGGGTATGCGTTCATAGAAGTGAGTGTATGTGTGTATGTATGAGTGTTTACGCATGTACTGTGTAAAAAACACGACAAACTAATTAACCATGATTTTTTTTATTTCCTTTTGTTCCATTTCGCTCTAATATGTTGGCAAAAATGGCACCGCAATTATAATAATAGAGTTATGTCAAGTTCCTGTTGCTCCATTTCCCCATATACCATGTGATTTTTTATGTTGAAAATCATTTGCCAATAAAATGCTCGCGTATTTGAAAAATATTTGTCAAATACAAAAAATGTTCATGAATTTCAAAAAATGATCATGAATTAAGAAAATGGTGGTGAAACTTAAAAATCCTAAATGTAAAAAAAAGTTCACGAAATTTTTAAAATCATGAATTTGTCGAAAAATCACAAGTTCCCAAAGTGTATAGAGATTTTTTTATTTGAAAAAGCTCATGATTTTTTCAAACATGTAGTCACGACAATCCCTTGGAAGCATGCAGTTGCGACCCCGCTTGAAATACATGCAGTTGTGAAAGCACAAGTGCTCTCTGGGTGATTTTGATAATTAATGTCAACATATCTCTTGTTGGACTAATACTTTCATCTAGTATATTTCAGATAAGTTCAACAGTGGAGTGGCATGGACAAGAGGATGTAGAACCCCTTCAAGAAGCGAAGGACAAAGGATTGGCTCAAGCTCAAAGCTCATGTCTCTACATTTTCTATTTCGGTGATCCAAGATCATATTGAGTCTATAGAAAAGCCAATACCATTAAAGGGGATGAGGTGTTGCTTAATAGCTTGTTTGCTCAAAGTGCTTAGTGATATGCTCCAAAGCCCTCAACCACTTTCTCATATCCACATATGTCCAAAACCAAAAGTCAAACTCGGCCCCACCAATTTGATCCATCCGGCGGCACCGAGTTCATTTGACATAGTGATGTCTACTACGCAACCTTCTTCTTGTAGACGTTGTTGGGCTTCCAAATGCAGAGGTTTGTAGGACAGTAGCAAATTTCCATCAAGTGGATGACCTAAGATTTATCAATCCATGGGAGGCGTAGGATAAAGATGGTCTCTCTCAAGCTAACCAAATAACAAAGAGTCTCTTGTGTCCCCAACACACCCAATACAATGGTAAATTGTATAGGTGCACTAGTTCGGCGAAGAGATGGTGATACAAGTGCAATATGGATGGTAGATATAGGTTTTTGTAATCTGAAATTATAAAAACAGCAAGGTAGCAAGTGGTAAAAGTGAGCGTAAACGGTATTGCAATGCGTTGAAATAAAGCCTACAGTTCATACTTTCACTAGTGCAAATTCTCTCAACAATAATAGCATAATTAGATCATATAACTATCCCTCAACATGCAACAAAGAGTCACTCCAAAGTCACTAATAGCGGAGAACAAACGAAGAGATTATTGTAGGGGTACGAAACCACCTCAAAGTTATTCTTTCTGATCGATCTATTCAAGAATCTGTAGTAAAATAACACGAAGCTATTCTTTCCGTTCAATCTATCATAGAATTCGTACTAGAATAACACCTTAAGACACAAATCAACCAAAACCCTAATGTCACCTAGATATTCCAATGTCACCTCAACTATCCGTGGGCATGATTATACGATATGCATCACACAATCTCAGATTCATCTATTCAACCAACACAAAGTACTTCAAAGAGTGCCCCAAAGTTTCTACCGGAGAGTCAAGATGAAAACATGTGCCAACCCGTATGCATAAGTTCACAGGGTCACTGAACCCTCAAGTTGATCACCAGAACATACATCAAGTGAATCACGTGATATCCCATTGTCACCACAGATAAGCACATGCAAGGCATACATCAAGTGTTCTCAAATTCTTAAAGACTCAATCCAATAAGATAACTTCGAAGGAAAAACTCAAACCATATACAAGAGAGTAGAGGGGGAGAAACATCATAAGATCCAACTATAATAGCAAAGCTCGCGATACATCAAGATCGTGCCAAATCAAGAACCCGAGAGAGAGATCAAACATATAGCTACTGGTACATACCCTCAGCCCCAAGGATGAACTACTCCCACCTTGTCATGGAGAGCGTCGGGATGATGAAGATGGCCACCGGTGAGGGATCTCCTCTCCGGCAGGGTGCTGGAATAGGGTCCCGATTGGTTTTTGGTGGCTACAGAGGCTTGTAGCGGCGGAACTCTCGATCTATGGTATTTTCTGGAGGTTTCAGTATTTATAGGAATTTTTGGCGTAGGTCTCACGTCAGGGGGGTCTCCGAGCCGTCCACGAGATTAGGGGCACGCCCAGGAGGGTAGGGCGCACCCCCACCCTCGTGGGCAGCCCGAGACTCTTTTGGCCTAACTCTTTTACTCCCTGGGCTTCTTTTGGTCCATAAAATCATCAAAAATAGGCACGTCAATTGGACTCCATTTGGTATTCCTTTTCTATAAAACTCAAAAACAAGGAAAAAAACAGAAACTGGCACTGGACTCTAGGTTAATAGGTTAGTCCCAAAATCATATAAAATAGCATATGAATGCATATAAAACATCCTAGATGGATAATATAATAGCATGCAACAATAAAAAATTATAGGTATGTTGAAGACGTATCAAGCATCCCCAAGCTTAATTCCTGCTCGTCCTCAAGTAGGTAAATGATAAAAACAGATTTTTGATGTGGAATGCTACCTAACATATTTATCAATGTAATCTTCTTTATTGTGGCAAAAATATTCAGATCCATAAGATTCAATACAAAAGTTTAATATTGACATGAAAACAATAATACCTAGTACTCACTCTACACATGTCATCCCAAATCTTGGTACTCTTGTGGTTTACTGCTCTTTCTTTGCTTAGTTGATGATTCTATGTTGTCTAACCCTGTTTACTCAGGTTCATCTCTTCCACAGCTAGCTCAAGACCACAAGGTAAGTATATGCATCACACCCATGTACATGAGGATCTCTTGCTGATGTACATATTGTCTGCAAGAAGGACTCATGAGCATGAAGGTACATTTCTCATGTTCACACCATTTGCTCTGATGCATATAGCCAAGATACATGTAACTCATTGCTTGCTCTGTCATGATTATGCACTCACATGATCTTATGTTCCATATTTACATGATTGCATACATCTAGGGGGAGCCTATGCATGTTACATGTCTTTCCAAAGTTTTACTTGTTTTTCTCTATATCTTTATCTAAAGCTTTGATGTATGTTGTCATCAATTACCAAAAAGGGGTAGATTGAAAGCACAAGTTGTAACACCCCGGATGTAACTTTCCATCTTTGTAACTCCAACTCTTGCCATTTTCGGCTATGTGATATGATATTTCCTCCGTGGTTGGGTTTTGTCTTTTGTTTTGCATTTTATTCATGTCATGCATATCATATCATGGCATCATGCGCATTTCATTTTGCATACGTGTTCGTCTCATGCATCCGAGCATTTTTCCCGTTGTCCGTTTCGCAATCCGAC